GATGGGATGTATTGTAATAAATGGTATTTTGAGAAAAAATATATATATTTCTACCATGCTCCCAAGATGCCATGCAGCAGTATGCAAATGAAAGTGTAAATGAGTGTCAGATATTATCCCAGCTCACATTGCTATGGATACAAACTGTTGTGTTATAAACATTCTTTACATTGACCCCAGCCATATAACATGCGTCTGCTACGATTATTGCTGTGGAGCTCTGTTATACACAGACACGTTACTGGGAGTATTATTGCGGTGGAGCTCTGTTATACACTCAGACACATTACTGAGAGTATTATTACTGTGGGGCTCTGTTATACACTCAGACACATTACTGGGAGTATTATTGCTGTGAAGCTCTGTTATACACAGACACGTTACTGGGAGTATTATTGCGGTGGAGCTCTGTTATACACAGACACGTTACTGGGAGTATTATTGCGGTGGAGCTCTGTTATACACTCAGACACGTTACTGGGAGTATTATTGCTGTGGAGCTCTGTTATACACTCAGACACATTACTGGGAGTATTATTACTATGGAGCTCTGTTATACACTCAGACACATTACTGGGAGTATTATTGCTGTGGAGCTCTGTTATACACTCAGACACGTTACTGGGAGTATTATTGCTGTGGAGCACTGTTATACACTCAGACACATTACTAGGAGTATTATTGCTGTGGAGCTCTGTTATACACTCAGACACATTACTGGGAGTATTATTGCTGTGGAGCTCTGTTACACACTCAGATACATTACTGGGAGTATTATAGCTGTGGAGCTCTGTTATACACTCAGACACATTACTGGGAGTATTATTGCTGTGGGGCTCTGTTATACACTCAGACACATTACTGGGAGTATTATTGCTGTGGAGCTCTGTTATACACTCAGACACATTACTGCTAGAATTATTGCCGGGGAGCTCTGTTATACACTCAGACACATTACTGGGAGTATTATTGCTGTGGAGCTCTGTTATACACTCAGACACATTACTAGGAGTATTATTGCTGTGGGCTCTGTTATACACTCAGACACATTACTGGGAGTATTATTGCTGTGGAGCTCTGTTATACACTCAGACACATTACTGGGAGTATTTTTGCTGTGGAGCTCTGGTATACACTCAGACATATTACTGGGAGTATTATTGCTGTGGAGCTCTGTTATACACTCAGACACATTACTGGGAGTATTATTGCTGTGGAGCTCTGTTATATACTCAGACACATTACTGGAAGTATTATTGCTGTGGGGCTCTGTTACACACTCAGACACATTACTGGGAGTATTATTGCTGTGGAGCTCGGTTATACACTCAGACACATTACTGGGAGTATTATTGCTGTGGAGCTCTGTTATACACTCACACACATTACTGGGAGTATTATTGCTGTGGAGCTCTGTTATACACTCACACACATTACTGGGAGTATTATTGCTGTGGAGCTCTGTTATACACTCAGTCACATTACTGGGAGTATTATTGCTGTGGAGCTCTGTTATACACTCACACACATTACTGGGAGTATTATTGCTGTGGAGCTCTGTTATACACTCAGACACATTACTGGGAGTATTATTGCTGTGGAGCTCTGTTATACACTCAGACACATTACTGGGAATATTATTGCTGTGGAGCTCTGTTATACACTCAGACACATTACTGGGAGTATTATTGCTGTTATACACTCAGACACATTACTGGGAGTATTATTGCTGTGGAGCTCTGTTATACACTCAGACACATTACTGGGAGTATTATTGCTGTGGAGCTCTGTTATACACTCAGACACATTACTGGGAGTATTATTGCTGTGGAGCTCTGTTATACACTCACACATTACTGGGAGTATTATTGCTGTGGAGCTCTGTTATACACTCAGACACATTACTGGGAGTATTATTGCTGTGGAGCTCTGTTATACACTCAGACACATTACTGGGAGTATTATTGCTGTGGAGCTCTGTTATACACTCAGACACATTACTGGGAGTATTATTGCTGTGGAGCTCTGTTATACACTCACACACATTACCGGGAGTATTAATGCCGCGGAGCTCTGTTATACGCTCAGACAATAATACTCCCAGTAATGTGTCTGAGTTTATGGGGGAAAACACAAAAGAGGGGTGTAAGACACAAAGAGGGGAAAAGGGGAAAGATGCACTTAAAGAGGTTAAAGGACCACTATAGTGCCAGGAAAACATACTCGTTTTCCTGGCTCTATAGTGCCCTGAGGGTGCCCCAACCCTCACGGCCCCCTCTCCAGCTTTGGAGGCTGGATTAACCCTAATATAAACATAGCAGTTTCTCTGAAACTGCTATGTTTATAAAAAAAAGGGTTAATCCTAGAGGGACCTGGCACCCAGACCACTTCATTAAGCTGAAGTGCTCTGGGTGCCTAGAGTGGTCCTTTAAACATTAAAAGATGGAGTAAGTAACACAGACGGGGTAAGAAATCCAAAAGGGCCTTGCACCAGCCCTGTGTGCAGCCTTGAGTGTGTGACCACTTTTTTGGGACAATTGTCTGGTGTCCACACACTGTCCCATCAGATCATGAACCGTTGAGACGTCTGGCATTAGCAACTAACTTTTATACTTTATTTAACTGCGATCTACGTAACATTTTTCTTTTAAATAATTTTTTGCATAAAAAGTGCTGTTTTTAACTATAAGATATTCCTGATTATCAGAGATCCTTGGCATCAGTGAGCAGAGGCTGGACAGATCTGCAAAAAAAAATAATCTTACCTTGCAAAATCTTTAACCATGGGCGACCTTTCACCCCGTGCACACATCCTGCTCTGTAATGTATGGAAAACAAACAAAAACTAATAGACTAGGGCGAAATGTTTGCTTTTGAAAAAAAAATAAAAAATTAGTTTCTTTGAAAAACAAAAGAGGTGTGCCTGAATCACAGATGTCCTCTGGATAATACATTCAAAACATGAATTACTAAAAATCAATAAATCCTGTTCTTTTCCTCTCGCCGCTCACCGCTTCCACAACCAGGAAGTGGCCAGGATGCTGCAGCCAATCCTGAGCCTCTAATTTCTTTTTCCTCTCCGAGAATTGGATATTTCTATTGATTATTATTATTTTATTATTTATATAGCGCCAGCAAATTCCGTAGCGCCGTACAATGGGATCACAAAAGAAAATATATTTTTTTCCATTGTGTCTCAATGTTCTTTGCATTTATAAATAAAGGTTAGTTGTTTATAAATACTGTTTTCATCATTTTATTGCAGTTTCTGAATCAGTATTTAATTAATATTTACAGTGACGGGTAATAGATAGAAAAGTGCTAATACGTGCATGCAAGCCAGTGAAAATGGGAGCACTCCCTGGATCCCTCCAGAAACGAATACAAAGAGTAGTGTCTAACCAAAGTTAAAATACAATACAGGGGAAGTTACCCCGGAAATGTTGCCAGCCTAGTGTGATCTAAAGAATTTCAGCATCCAGAGAACGGCGGGCTGTGGAGGAATTCCCCACTTTTGCCGACCACTTGTCTGTGGAGCAGTCTATCTGGTATCCTGAACGTTCCACTCATGACTGGTATCCCTGGGGATTCAGCCTATTTGAGGCACAAAGTGTATTTGCACATATTAATTCCACTCAATTGTGCCCCTGATTTTGTGAGTGTCCCATTTGTTTGTTTTTACTATATTTGTTAATTACAATTTACACTATGATCTCTTATTCTTCTCTTTTCCATGTGAGTTATGTACGTTTGGTAACTATACTCGCCTTGTACCTTGTGAACGTGGCGCCCTGTATTGTATTTTAACTTTGGTTAGATACTACTCTTTGTATTTAATCAATATTGGTCTAATACGGCGATAGTGAAAATAACCGACACACAGGAGATTGCGTGGAATGAATGTGACAATAGTGACATTACTGGGTACAGCGTGATAATGGAAACCCTGCTAGGAGAATTGGCACTGGCGCCCAGGGGGTTAAGGGGGATACATGCAGTCAGTAATACCCCCTGCCAGCCGGTGAGACACAGCAGTAGATAGAGCTCCGAGGGGTTAGCTGGGGTCACAGGCTCTGGAGGAGAACACTCCAAGCTGGAAGACGACAGCGTGCAGTGACCCCTGCTGGACAGTTTTGCAAACTGCTTAAAGGGACGTTCTTCAGGACAGCTCATGGTATTAATTATAATGTATTATTAGGATTATTACTGGTATTTGGATAGCGCCAGCATATTCCGCAGAACTGTACAACCAGGGAAAATAGGCAGCACAGTATAGACAAATCAAAACGAATAAAGGATCGTGCCTGTGAGGTAAGATCTAGGAATTTCAGCCCTTTTATACAAAGTGGGAAGCTAGATATCTTGTGAGCCTGCAATCTAAATGAAGACTTTGGGTGATGCCTCTCTGTTTTTTCCCCCCAAACCATTGTAGACCAGTTTAACACAAACCAGAGCTCTCCCACAACCAAGGGCGTAGCATCTGTTACTAGGCTTGAGTGCAAACGTGCGTGTGTATTTGTGCATGTGTGTATTTTTGTGCGTGTGTGTATTTTTCTGTGTATGTATATTTGTGAGTGTGTAATTTGTGTGTAATATTTTCCCCTTCTTTCGAATGTTTAATCCCCACAATACAATAGAAAATTATTGAAACCACAGAAACTTTTCACCTCGAGGGATGTACCTTTAATAAAAGGAACCAATCAATATCTGTATACAGAGCTGATATGTGCACTAAAATATTTCAACTGGAACAAATTAAATTCTTTTAACGTACGCCAGAACAAATCGATCTGCCCTGGATTTAAATCTTATTCTTCCTATAGTTTCGTTGTAATAAAACTGATAAAGTGCTAGAAACAAATATACCCCCAAATCCAGGCATGCGTGTGGCCCTCGAGGGCCTCGATGGACTGCCTTGGTATAGGGATTAATGAACTTGTCGTGAATGTATGAATATCGTGGCTCTGACATTATCTGTATTGACTCCGTTATAGGTGACGATGATGATCTGCCTCCTGATTGGCTTCTTGGTCCCAGTGACGGTTTTCACAGCTCCTTCCCCCATCAACCGCTTGGCGCTATTTCCAGATAAGAGCGCCTGGTGTGAAGCCAAGAATATTACGCAGATTGTGGGTCACAACGGCTGTGAATCCAAGTCCATCCAGAACCGGTAAGATATCTGTGGTGGAAATGGGGCCGAGTGGGGAGAACAGAAAGGTTCCGCTACACTGGGCTGATTGTAACGCATCCATCATTATTCACTAATGTGAGAATCGTCAGGGATTCAGCGTGACGTAGATTTTCTCTAAGTCAGTATGTTTGTTTTCAGTCTGCCTGTTTCGGCCATAAATTTTAAATTCACGTTCAGGGTTTTCCACTAAAGTGCTAATTGACAGAATTTCACATTTAAAGTAACAATATAGTCACCTAAACAACTCTAGCTTAAAGGACCACTATAGTGCCAGGAAAACATACTCGTTTTCCTGGCACTATAGTGCACTGAGGGTGCCCCCACCCTCAGGGACCCCCTCCCGCCCGGCTCTGGAAGGGGGAAAGGGTTAAAAACTTACCTTTTTCCAGCGCTGGGCGGAGAGCTCTCCTCCTTCTCTCCTCCTCCGTCCCTCCTCCTGGGCTGAATGCGCACGCGCGGCAAGAGCTGCGCGCGCATTCAGCCCGTCGCATAGGAAAGCATTTACAATGCTTTCCTATGGACGCTTGCATGTTCTCACTGTGAAAATCACAGTGAGAAGCACGCAAGCGCCTCTAGTGGCTGTCAACACAGCCTACATGAAAAAAAAAACTGGTTTCACTTTCAAAAAGATGTAATTTACCTTAAACAATATTATCTCTTTCTCTGTAAATTTAACTTTAATCACATACAGGAGGCTCTTGCAGGGTCTAGCAAGCTATTAAAGGGACACTCCAGGCTACCACACACGTTAGATGTACTGTGTAGGTTAGGTTACAGTTAGTTATACTGGGTGGGTTTATATTATGAAAGGGACACTCCAGGCTCCCACACACGTTGGATGCACTGTGTAGGTTAGGGTACAGTTAGTTATACTGGGTGGGTTTATATTATTAAAGGGACACTCCAGGCTCCCACACACGTTAGATGCACTGTGTAAGTTAGGTTACAGCTAGTTATACTGGGTGGGTTTATATTATGAAAGGGACACTCCAGGCTCCCACACATGTTAGGTGCACTGTGTAGGTTAGGTTACAGTTAGTTATACTGGGTGGGTTTATATTATTAAAGGGACACTCCAGGCTCCCACACACGTTAGATGCACTGTGTAGGTTAGGTTACGGTTATACTGGGTGGGTTTATATTATTAAAGGGACACTCCAGGCTCCCACACATGTTAGGTGCACTGTGTAGGTTAGGTTACAGTTATACTGGGTGGGTTTATATTATTAAAGGGACACTCCAGGCTCCCACACACGTTAGATGCACTGTGTAGGTTAGGTTACAGTTAGTTATACTGGGTGGGTTAATATTATTAAAGGGACACTCCAAGCTCCCACACACGTTAGATGCACTGTGTAGGTTAGGTTACAGTTAGTTATACTGGGTGGGTTCATATTATTAAAGGACACTACAGGCTCCCACACATGTTAGGTGCACTGTGTAGGCACTGTGTAGGTTAGGTTACAGTTATACTGGGTGGGTTTATATTATTAAAGGGACACTCCAGGCTCTTACACACGTTAGATGCACTGTGTAGGTTAGTTTACAGTTAGTTATACTGGGTGGGTTTATATTATTAAATGGACACTCCAGGCTACCACACACGTTAGATGTACTGTGTAGGTTAGGTTACAGTTAGTTATACTGGGTGGGTTTATATTATGAAAGGGACACTCCAGGCTCCCACACACGTTGGATGCACTGTGTAGGTTAGGGTACAGTTAGTTATACTGGGTGGGTTTATATTATTAAAGGGACACTCCAGGCTCCCACACACGTTAGATGCACTGTGTAAGTTAGGTTACAGCTAGTTATACTGGGTGGGTTTATATTATGAAAGGGACACTCCAGGCTCCCACACATGTTAGGTGCACTGTGTAGGTTAGGTTACAGTTAGTTATACTGGGTGGGTTTATATTATTAAAGGGACACTCCAGGCTCCCACACACGTTAGATGCACTGTGTAGGTTAGGTTACAGTTAGTTATACTGGGTGGGTTTATATTAATAAAGGGACACTCCAAGCTCTCACACATGTTAGGTGCACTGTGTAGGTTAGATTACAGGTAGTTATACTGGGTGGGTTTATATTATTAAAGGGACACTCCAGGCTCCCACACACGTTAGATGCACTGTGTAGGTTAGGTTACAGTTAGTTATACTGGGTGGGTTAATATTATTAAAGGGACACTCCAAGCTCCCACACACGTTAGATGCACTGTGTAGGTTAGGTTACAGTTAGTTATACTGGGTGGGTTCATATTATTAAAGGACACTACAGGCTCCCACACATGTTAGGTGCACTGTGTAGGCACTGTGTAGGTTAGGTTACAGTTATACTGGGTGGGTTTATATTATTAAAGGGACACTCCAGGCTCTTACACACGTTAGATGCACTGTGTAGGTTAGTTTACAGTTAGTTATACTGGGTGGGTTTATATTATTAATGGACACTTCAGGCTCCCACACATGTTAGGTGCACTGTGTAGGTTAGGTTACAGTTAGTTATACTGGGTGGGTTTATATTATTAAAGGGACACTCCAAGCTCTCACACGTTAGGTGCACTGTGTAGGTTAAGTTACAGTTATTTATACTGGGTGGGTTTATATTATTAAAGGGACACTCCAAGCTCTCACACATGTTAGATGCACTGTGTAGATTAGGTTACAGTTATACTGGGTGGGTTTATATTATTAAAGGGACACTCCAGGCTCCCACACACGTTAGGTGCACTGTGTAGGTTAGGTTACAGTTAGTTATACTGGGTGGGTTTATATTATTAAAGGGACACTCCAGGCTCCACACACGTTAGATGCACTGTGTAGGTTAGGTTACAGTTAGTTATACTGGGTGGGTTTATATTATTAAAGGGACACTCCAGGCTCCCACACACGTTAGATGCACTGTGTAGGTTAGGTTACAGTTAGTTATACTGGGTGGGTTTATATTATTAAAGGGACACTCCAGGCTCCCACACACGTTAGGTGCACTGTGTAGGTTAGGTTACAGTTAGTTATACTGGGTGGGTTTATATTATTAAAGGGACACTCCAGGCTCCCACACACGTTAGATGCACTGTGTAGGTTAGGTTACAGTTAGTTATACTGGGTGGGTTTATATTATTAAAGGGACACTCCAGGCTCCCACACACGTTAGATGCACTGTGTAGGTTAGGTTACAGTTAGTTATACTGGGTGGGTTTATATTATTAAAGGGACACTCCAGGCTCCCACACACGTTAGATGCACTGTGTAGGTTAGGTTACAGTTAGTTATACTGGGTGGGTTTATATTATTAAAGGGACACTCCAGGCTCCCACACACGTTAGGTACACTGTGTAGGTTAGGTTACAGTTAGTTATACTGGGTGGGGTTATATTATTAAAGGGACACTCCAGGCTCCCACACACATTAGATGCACTGTGTAGGTTAGGTTACAGTTAGTTATACTGGGTGGGTTTATATTATTAAAGGGACACTCCAGGCTCCCACACACGTTAGATGCACTGTGTAGTTGGTTAAACTATGTGAGCAAGAAAATCAAATGTGAGTTTCTTATTATTCATAGTCTATATATTTATATTAAAATGAGTTTAACCCTTTGGCACTGTGTGGTTGCCCTTGAACAGCATTTGTCAGTAGATAGTCTGAAATGCTGTGAAGTTAAATGTATTATGCTTACCTTTGCTGCTTTAGTCACCCCAGTAAATACTGTACTTCAATTGCATTTTCTATGCGAGGAAACTCTATAATTAAACATTTACTTTAGTTTAAATGCAAATTAATTTAAGACCCTTATTTATTTAACCCTTAGTTACAAGCAGAAACCTAGAAATCTATGTTGTAAACAGACGGATCATGTCTTGAAATACAGTGTTAGCATAATCTATTGTTATTAGAGTGAGTGTGTTTATAAATCCCATTTGGCTGCTACCTACCTGCTAATTCTGCGTTTTATTTGCAGGGCCTGCCTGGGACAGTGCTTCAGTTACAGCGTACCCAATACATTCCCGCAGTATACCGAGTCCCTGGTACACTGTGACTCATGTATGCCGGCCAAGTCCATGTGGGATGTGGTAAATGTTACTTATGTACAATATGGGGATCATTCACTAAACGCCACACTGGAGGGAACTAGAAACCAGATGGCAATATCTAGATAAAACGACTGATTTGGGAAAATTCTCAGACTCTTATTATCATCATCTGGGATTTTTTTGTTTTCTATTAACTTAAACTGGGTGTTTAAAGAGTTACAAGGTAGCAAGGGGAGTGTGAATAAGTGTATCTGGTGTTATTACAGATCAGCGCCAGCAGATGGCAGCCTTATAGCTGTTGTTTTTTTTTCTCTATACATTCTCTATACTGCCTGCATATTTGTTGAAGGCAAGATTAATGTATTTTATATTAGTGTGAGATCAAGGCAGTCACACACAGTAAATCTCTGGTTAAAGGGTTCCTCCAAGCAGAAAGAAAGTGTTTTATTAAACCGTGTTTAATTTGTGGTTCGAGTAGCCCGTTTTGAAGCGCGGATTTATGTGGGGGCACTAGGGTAAGTGATGGCGCCCGCCATCGGGTACCCAGAACATATATATTATATATACATATATATTTTTCTCTTTCTACCGCATTTATTAATGCAGCCAAGCAGCATTGAAATGACGCCCCGATAACGCTGCTGGAGGTGGAGGTAAACCTTTGGCAGCAGAGGGGGTTAAACACCATATAAGGTGTGTTTCATAGCAAAACGCTGCATATACCGACTCCAGGCACCATGACCACTTCAAATCACTGTAGTGGTCATGGTGTTTGGAGTAGCCCTTTAATGTTTGGTATTTAGACGGAGGCTGATTCAGGCTTTGCATTAGATGACAGATATCCTGTTTTAAGCCCAGAAATCAGAACATTCTCCTCTTTTGCCACTATTGTGTCACCATTTAAAGAATGCTAATTTTTCCTCTGTTTCTGTCTTTCCCAATAATAGGTCACTTTGGAGTGCCCAGGTAACGAGGAGGTACCACGCGTGGACAAGTTAGTGGAAAAGATTCTGCGTTGCAGTTGTCAGGCGTGTGGGAAGGAGCAGAGCCAGGAGGGTGCCATGTTTAACGTCTACCTAAACACTGCTGAGGAGACACTTCCTCCTGCAGAGAACATTGGTCGCCACCAGCAGCCCCCACACGAGGAGGATTCACCTTCCCCAGCACAGCGGGACGGAGAGAGCGAGGAGTGAGAGCCTTCATTCTCCACCATATCGGACATTTTATTCCTCCTCATGTATTTCCCACAATGCACCACTCCCACCACGCCATGGCTAGACATGGGAGCAACATGGAGGAAGGACGCTATGAGAACCACTTGTGGAGAGGACACATGTATAATATAAACAGTTACAGGGTCCACATTTAAGAGAAAGTCAAGGGTAATCCGCTTAAATTCCCACGCCACCGCAATGTGCACCCTTAGGAGTAATTGGATATTTATCAGTGACAAAGCTGGGGCTGTGTGTCCAGTGATTATAACCATTAGCCGATTATGAAAGCAGGGAGTAGATGGTTTTTACGCCTTCGGTGTTTGTAATTTAGAGTTAAAATGACAACGCTCGATAGTTCGCTGGTGACTTAAAGATCCGCTAATGTCAAGGCTTACATATAACGTTTGTGTCCAGATATATTTAAAATATTGTGGTCTCAGCCGGGATTTCTGCTCGGGTATCTCCCCGACAAATGTTGAGATGATGAATTTATACAATAACTTTGAGGCCGTGTGAACAAAACAGAGTCCCCGAAATGCGCAGGAAGCAACTAACTTGTCTCATTGCAGTAACTTGCTCCAGAGACCACTATGTAGGGTTTGCCTTCTCTAACCCTTTAATTGCTAGGAGATCTTTAATGTTATGGCAAAAAGACAGTTAAAGGGATATATTGCATATCATTTTAATGTGTCTAACGGTTTTAAAATGTGCAGTTTATTCTCATGTCTTTGTTGTTTGCAGTTGTTTGTTGTAAATGAGTAAATCCAACCAATATAGCAGAAAATTGCCTGGCGCGGAGGGATCGTTATGCCAGACAGATTTATTAGGTATAATCGCCCTTTTTGCCCAGACAGGGGTCAAGCTAAGCTTTTGTTAAGGTTGTCGGTGAAACCGCAAAACTGGTCTAAACTCCCACCCAATGGTGGGTTAAATTATACAGAAATAATTACATTACATACAATCACGTTTGTTTTATTAAAATACAAATCTGAATATGTTATAGCAGTGTAACATTCAAATAAACCTGTTCCACACACGTAAGAGTCTTTTGAGCGACATCTTTTAATTAGGGCTTTGATAAATTATCTTAAAAGGAATTTCACAAATTTCTAATGTGTTTATTTATTCCGTACATTTAAGAAATATGTTTCTGAGATCTGAAAAATAAAACTAAAAGTGCTGTTTCTCCTCCCACATCAGACAGCATCTGTATAGTGCGGAACTTTCTGGGTGTCCACACCCCGTTTTATAAGGGGGTGCAGATCTTTCTGGGTGTCCACACCCTGTTTTATAACGGGAATGCGGATCTTTCTGGGTGTCCACACTCAGTGATGTATTTAGTATCTGTGATGCCCTAGGCATGATGGACTCGGGCACCCCCTAATTTACTTTTGCCCTGCCTCTTCCTGTCAATGCCGCACCTCTTCCTGTTAAACGACTAACACACACTTTGACTGACAGACACACTCTCAGATACAATGACATACAAAAACTGGTTTGACACAAACAATCACTGACTCACTGACATACACACAATCACTGACATACACACACAATGATGCAGACACACACACTGACAGGTATACACAATCACTCAGACACACAGACGCCCTCACAGACACAATCACTCAGAAACAAACATATTCACTGACACACACACACACATTCACTGACAGACACACACACAATCACTCAGACACACAGGCACCCTCACAGACACAATCACTCGGAAACAAACACGTATTCACTGACAGACACACATACACACTCTCACTCAGTGACAGACAGCCACACGGTGACAGACACACTGACAGACATACACACACTGACAGCCAGACACACACAATCACTCAGACATACACACACTGACAGCCCCCTTCCCTCTCCCCCCGTCTCCCCAAACATTAACCATTACTTTTTCTATTTTCATTTTTTTTTAACCTGGGGTCCAGTGGAAGGAAGGGAGGCAGGCAGTTGTGCGACTAACTAACATTCCATGCGGGCAGGCGGCACTGGCGAGGGAGCACTGATTAATGAGCTCTCTGCTCATATCCCTCGTGCACCGAAGAATGATGCCGGGAGCTGGAATATGACGTCAGCGCCGCCAGCCCGCCTGGAATGTTGGTTAGCAATTTTTGCCGCCCCCTGGAAAGTGCCGCCCAAGGCAAATGCCTTGTTTGCCTCGTGGCAAATACGTCCCTGTCCACACCCCATTTTATAAGAAGGAAGGTCCCCCTTTACCTAGAAGTTCCCAATGGGCGTACATTGCTTGGTAGGATGGGCTCGTCCCCAGGGCTGATAACACCTTCTGGGTTATTCACCAAAGTGAGAATTCAAAGAGAATTTCAAATTTAATGTCAGGATAGCCAGACTGGAAAAATCCCCTAAGCTTTGTTTTAGCTTTGTTTAGTGCGACCTTAAATGTGAAATTCACGTGAATTCTCACTGTATTGAATAATAACACAGATTTCCTTCATGTTAATGGCACCAAGTAAGTATAATCCGCAGGATTCATCGTTCTTTAATGACTTCATTTCATACAGCAACTTCTGAAATCTACACATCACTGGGCAAAACTTTTCATGTCACGCCCATTAATATATTGATGTCAGTCTGTTAATGTATGGTGGACATCGTCACCCTGCCTACACAATCCTCCCAGTGGCAAAGCATAATGTGGGGGTCACCACAATCCTGACTCTTCAGTATATAAAAAACAAGTAGCAAGAGAGGTGACAACGGACAACAGCTCAATTAGCCTGCTCTTAGGTGGGTCCCCGCTCAGATCTCAAGCTGGTTATAGCTCATTTAGTGCCATTACAGAGAGAACATATCAGACTGGTCCCACCCGTATGGGCAGTCCAGATCCGAAATGCCAGCAAGTTCCCTCTGCAAGAGAGATACGGCAGCCCCAGACGATCGTTTCAACCTTGTAAGGTAGGATCCTACCTTGAGCCCTGTCTGCTGCAGCCTGTGATCAGTCTCAGATTAGTCATCTTTAACTGGACTCAGATCACCCCGGCATTAAAATGTGGATTTCCGCGGGGCAGGGCGGGCGAACGGCGCAGACGCCATTTCTGGAGCTCTGGTATTCCTGCATGAAAACCGGGAAATACTCCCAAATCAGCCGTACTCCGACTAACCTGAAGACTGGATTCGTCTACAGGAGACTGACAGGCACACGCCAATGCCTTTTTTCAGCAACCAGGTGCCAAACAGAAACGCCGTCCTCCCACGCGGCCAGCCAGAGGAGTACACCGCATGCATCCGCGGCCTGGTGGGATACTGACTGTCTCACACCCAATCACCAGCAGGCACTGACCCTAGAGCTGGAGGAGATGGGCAAAAAAATCCCACAAATCTCAGGCATCCACGCTCCAAAACACACAGGACATCAGCAAGCTGCTCCAACGCACACCAAAGCCCAGGGAGCTGGTGCAGGCCGAAACAGAGGCCTGTGACCCCCAGGAGAAGGCAGGGGTGAATGAAGAAGCACAGGCACCACCCACAGGGGGGCTCCAAACCACACGGACCCCAGCCAACTTAGTACCTGCAACAAAACCGGACATTGATAACCTCTTCGATAGAATCCAAAAGCTTTTCACTGCTGACATAGCCATGGTGCGGACTGAGGTACAGGCGGTCCCCACCCGCGTCCAGGCGTCTGACACAAACATAGCAGACCTGCAAAGCAAACTAGCAGCAGTGGGAGATTCAGTCACTAAATTACAAAAGCAACACTCTAACATGTCTCTGAGACTGGATGCACTGCACGAAAGATGCCGCCAGAAGAACATAAAGATCAGGGGGGTCGTGGACGCAGTGACCACGGAAGAATTACCGCACTTCATCAGGCAACTAGGCTCTACACTACTCCCAGCAAAACAAGCTAAGCAATTCGCACACGACGGCGCATACCGTATCGCAAAGTCCTCTAGGGCGCTGCTTACAGCCTCTATAGACATTACACTACGATGCGGAACGAGACAAGACAAACAAGCCTTGCTGGAAGCAATTCAAAATAAGTCACCTATGGACTTTGAGACTCACAAGATCTCACTCTTCCAAGATCTCCAACGCTCCACCCTATTGTGGAGAAAAACAATGAAGCCCATCACACAACGGCTGCAAGAGGTAGGAATGACATATAGATGGACTACCCCTGGATCCCTCATGGTTATCAAAGACGGCAAACATTAACGCCACCGACGTGGCGGAGACCAACACCTTCCTGGCAGCGATTGGCATCAGAGATGCCCCACTGGAGCGGAGGGCCCAAGATACCATCAGGACATGGGATGTGGACAATGTCACCCTTTCATCCCACGAAATGGACAAGGAGCAGTGACATAGGGAACCACATCTCAGTCTAAACTTAAGACTCTAGCGCTCCCTTGACCCAACCTTTACGTTACTAACCTCTACCCCTAAACTCATTGCACTAAACTGATTAATACCCCAGAAAAAGTCTGTGCTTACCATAGTCCAAACCATAGGAAAGACATTAACAGAGCCTACTGACGGCCAACCAACCATCACCCCACCCGACGTCCCCTCCGGTTAGGGACTACGCACAACCCTCACATACCAGGCTATAACTAAGCGCCTTGACTAAACAGAATGTTTTTGGTCCTTATGTTGACAATTTAGTTATCGGCTCCTGAATGCATGCCTTTTTTATGTTTCTCAATGTTAAATACAGTCTATAATATGAAAATAGATAAATGTACACAAAGTGGACGAAAAAAAGAGAATTCAGCAGCTCAAATACACCTAATAAGTGGTATCCCCTACACCACTATAAATACATAAAATACATACAATACAAATAGGCAGAGCCGCATAAAATCTTGAATGATTATTGCAGATGATATCTGTGCTGACTAGAGATAAAAATATAATATAATTAAACGACCAAGAGGAAGATACACGTCCTGGTATGACCTGACGAGCTCCTAATACCGAATGACGACTCCCTCTCAGGGGCCCTGTCCCCCAGACAACACATTGACATAGGAGCAAATTATACGAGGCATGATTCCTAGTTTGTAGGTCATAGCCCACTATGATAAAATACAGGTGCTAAAGTTTATACAATACACTACTGTTTTTATCACTTTAAAATATAAAATGTGCACTGATATGCATTCCTAACAATTGTTATTTTATGTTGACTGAAACGCCGGCAAAAGCTGTTGGGGCAATGCTAGATGCTAGCGCGTATGTAAAGTTTAATATATGCACCAAAAATAAAGAATTATAAATAAATAAATAAAATGTGGATTGCCAGAATTCAAAGTGAATATGAAGTGAGTGTGAAATTATAGTCTAAGATAGCCAAACTGAAAATATTACAGGCCTGGGGGATTTTTCCGGTTAGTTTTTTCTGACTTAACGTTTTAAATTCACTTTTAATTCCATTTTGAATATCCCCCTTCTTCCCCCCAAAAAAATCACAGATAAACGAATGACCCTGCAAGACTGTTTGAGACTTTAAAACATTCCTTTTTTTTCTTCACAACACTGTGAGTTTTTGGGAATTGTCAAGGGGAACGCAAAATTAAGGTCGATATTGTTGAAGTGGAAGATATAAGTTTGGAATTGTTCTATCCGTTTATTGAATAACCTACTTAAAAAGAAATGATATTAATCAGCTAAAGAATCCTTCCTAAATCACATACAGTCATATTATGAGTGATCAGTTACCTTTATCTCATCACGTGGGTTAATAAGCAAAAATAGTAACATCCAATTGTATCCCAACACTCCGGACCGTCATTGACCTAAGGTGGAAACGCAGATCCACTCATTGCTGTCAGTTCCTGGTTCGTGCATTAGATTACACTTACTTATATAGCTCCAACATATTTCACAGCGTTGTATAACAGGTAAACCAAGACAAACAATTCTAACGAAACACGTATGACAAGGGAACAGTATAAGATTGCAATCTAAAATGTGCATTTTAAAAATTCTTTAGTTCAACAGCAGCATTTCACAAAAGGCTAAATTTTATGTTTTTTTCTTAAACATCTATTACTAGAAAACTGTGTCACTGTCCTTATGTTTCTAAGATCCAGGAAAAATTCAGCTCTCTCTTATAAATCCTTTATTTTTGCAATAATTTGTGTCTGATCTGCTCGATGTGAGTTTTGGCAGATGGCTTGTTGTGCAATTAGAGAGACTGACGTGATTGGCTGCAGGGCCTTTCCAACAAGGTCGTTCTGCAATAATGGGCAAATGTGAGGAACCGGGGGCTAAATTGTTACTTGATGTTACCTTTAAAGCTCAGATTTCTGATTGGTTACTGTGGAAAAACAGGTTAAATAGATCCCTGGCCAAACTTCCAACATTCAAAAACTGAAACTAATGTCTTTAAATAGTTTACAAAATATGATTACTCTTGGAACAAAATAACAGCTGTCAGGAGTAATGAGACCCTAACAAGCTATTTGTAACAGTATTTATACCGCAGTAATCGCATTGCAGCCTGTGTTTGTTCTCCATGTCCATAGTAATATTAATAATAATATAACTTTACTGTTGTGCAAGTATTCAGAGTTGAGGAAGGGTCTCACCTGTTCTTAGCATCGCGGTTAGCCTGCCGCGTATTGCTGGCCCAGAGCAATACCATTCATTGTATGTAATTAAAGACCAGCGCCTCTCAGCATCCTTATGGAATTTATATTAATTTATAGAGTTGTCATGGAAACAGTTATTATGATGTACATTAAGCGCATGAAGACTGCCACTGGGGCCTGTAAGGAATTCAAAGGAATAAAATTAAAGGGACACTCCAGGCTCCCACACACGTTAGGTGCACTGTGTAAGTTAGGTTACAGTTAGTTATACTGGGTGGGTTTATATTATTAAAGGGACACTCCAGGCTACCACACACATTAGGTGCACTGTGTAGGTTAGGTTACAGTTAGTTATACTGGGTGGGTTTATATTATTAAAGGGACACTCCAGGCTCCCACACACATTAGATGCACTGTGTAGGTTAGGGTACAGTTAGTTATACTGGGTGGGTTTATATTATTAAACGGACCCTCCAGGCTCCCACACACGTTAGATGCACTGTGTAGGTTTGGTTACAGTTAGTTATACTGGGTGGGTTTATATTATTAAAGGGACACTCCAGGCTCCCACACACGTTAGGTGCACTGTGTAGTTTAGGTTACAGTTAGTTATACTGGGTGGGTTTATATTATTACAGGGACACTCCAGGCTCCCACACACGTTAGATTGCACTGTGTAGGTTAGGTTACAGTTAGTTATACTGGGTGGGTTTATATTATTAAAGGGACACTCCAGGCTCCCACACACGTTAGGTGCACTGTGTAGGTTAGGTTACAGTTAGTTATACTGGGTGGGTTTATATTATTAAAGGGACACTCCAGGCTCCCACACACGTTAGATGCACTGTGTAGGTTAGGTTACAGTTAGTTATACTGGGTGGGTTTATATTATTAAAGGGACACTCCAGGCTCCCACACACGTTAGGTGCACTGTGTAGGTTAGGTTACAGTTAGTTATACTGGGTGGGTTTATATTATTAAAGGGACACTCCAGGCTCCCACACACGTTAGGTGCACTGTGTAGGTTAGGTTACAGTTAGTTATACTGGGTGGGTTTATATTATTAAAGGGACACTCCAGGCTCCCACACACGTTAGATGCACTGTGTAGGTTAGGTTACAGTTAGTTATACTGGGTGGGTTTATATTATTAAAGGGACACTCCAGGCTCCCACACACGTTAGATGCACTGTGTAGGTTAGGTTACAGTTATACTGGGTGGGTTTATATTATTAAAGGGACACTCCAGGCTCCCACACACGTTAGATGCACTGTGTAGGTTAGGTTACAGTTAGTTATACTGGGTGGGTTTATATTATTAAAGGGACACTCCAGGCTCCCACACACGTTAGGTGCACTGTGTAGGTTAGGTTACAGTTAGTTATACTGGGTGGGTTTATATTATTAAAGGGACACTCCAGGCTCCCACACACGTTAGATGCACTGTGTAGGTTAGGTTACAGTTAGTTATACTGGGTGGGTTTATATTATTAAAGGGACACTCCAGGCTCCCACACACGTTAGATGCACTGTGTAGGTTAGGTTACAGTTAGTTACACTGGGTGGGTTTATATTATTAAAGGGACACTCCAGGCTCCCACACACGTTAGATGCATTGTGTAGGTTGGGTTACAGTTAGTTATACTGGGTGGGTTTATATTATTAAAGAGACACTCCAGGCTCCCACACACGTTAGATGCACTGTGTAGGTTAGATTACAGTTATACTGGGTGGGTTTATATTATTAAAGGGACACTCCAGGCTCCCACACACGTTAGATGCACTGTGTAGGTTAGGTTACTGTTAGTTATACTGGGTGGGTTTATATTATTAAAGGGACACTCCAGGCTCCCACACACGTTAGATGCACTGTGTAGGTTAGATTACAGTTAGTTATACTGGGTGGGTTTATATTATTAAAGGGACACTCCAGGCTCCCACACACGTTAGATGCACTGTGTAGGTTATGTTACAGTTAGTTATACTGGGTGGGTTTATATTATTAAAGGGACACTCCAGGCTCCCACACACGTTAGATGCACTGTGTAGGTTAGGTTACAGTTAGTTATACCAGGTTCATTATCAGCTGTATTTACTAAATGGAGAAAATTCATTCATATTACATTTTTAAATTAATTCAAAGTGTCTGAACTGGAAACATGATCGCAGTCAGCTATGTTTTCACTTCAGCTACTCTGGCCACGAAGTTGGAATTCACTGTTTTAGTAAATAAACCTCTCTCTCTCTTTCGAATAATTGCCGGCCGTCCTTTTAACGTAGTATAGAAAATGCCCAGCAGGTGGCACGGTTAGTGCCAGCTTTCATTACTAACCAGTAACCAAAACTGTCTCCCTGTTTAGTAGCATTAAATTCATTCTGAGCTGATACAATTATGTATTATTTGTGTGACCAGTTATTTCAGTTATGTATCCAGTTTGTGTATTCAGTTATACAACCTATAGAGCGTAAACTCTTTCTAGAGGGGTCCTCAACTACCTATTGTTCCTGTAACATTATGTCATTTTCTCATTTATTGTTAAATTTATAATATTGTAAAGCGCTGCGGAATAAGTGGTCCCTAATAATAATGAATATTGTCCAGTTCGAATACGCAGTCATTTCAGTTACTTAGTTTGTATGTTTAGTTACATATTGTTTCTGTTTTTAGTTTTTTATTCAATTATATGTTTGCGTGTTCAGTAAAACACTGATCAGCCACAACATTAAAACCACCTATTTAAGATCGTGTAGGTTCCCCTCGTGCTGCCAAACAAGCTCTGATGCATCGAGGCACGGACTCCACAAGACCTCTGACCATGTCCTGTTGAATCTAGACCGAGACATTAGCAGCCGATTCTTTAAGTCCGTCAAGTTGCGAGGTGGGACATCCATGTGTAGGATTTGTTCTAGCACATCCCACAGATGCTCAACCGGATTGAGATCTGGGGAATTTGAAGGCCAAGGCAACACCTTGAACCCTTTGTCATGTTCCTCAAACCATTCCTGAACAATGATTGCAGTGTGGCAGGGTGCATTATTCTGCTGAAAGAGGCCACTGCCATCAGGGAACACCATTGCCATAACGGAATGTACATGGTATGCAACAATTTCTAGGTAGGTGGTACGTGTCACAGTAACATCCATATGAATGCCTGGACCCAAGGTTTCCCAGCAGGACAATGCCCAGAGCATATCACTGACTCCGCCGGCCTGCTTTCTTCTCATGGTGCATCCTGCCATCCCTTCCCCTGGTAAATGTTGCACACGCATCCAGCCATCTTCCTGATCTAAAATAAAATATGATTCTTCAGACCATCCTTCTTCTATTGCTCCATGGTCCAGTTTTTTTTAAGGCCCTTTCGGTGGTAGAAAGGAGTCATCATAGGCACTCTGACCTGTCTCTGGCTACACAGCCCCATACGCAGCAAGCGTCGTTCACTGTGTGCTCTGACACCTTTCTATCATGGCCAGCATTAAGTTTTCCAGCAATCTGAGCTACAGTAGCTCTTCTGTGTGATCGGACCAGACGAACTAACCTTCGCTCCCCACGTGCATCAACGAGCCTTGGACGCCCATGATGCCAGTTGTACCGGGTTGTCCTTCC